TAATAGTTAAAATAATTCGTTTAAGAAGAGAGATATAACAACCAAATTCTCATATAGACAGACAATTGGAAGATGAAAAACCAAACCACGTTAAACATGAAAGTGTAAGCTTACCAGTCTAATGATTTAGGCACATACATGTATTTCTATTGAATTGAGCCACTTCCTTCTTCAAACAACAGTACAAATTACAACAAATTTGCACCAGAAAAGGTTCAACATCTGTACTTCTCTGATCTCATTTTAGTCCATAGTTAATCAAACTTTTGAGAAAATGATAGACCAAATATTAAAAAAAACACATGCAAACATCATAACATCATTAAAAATAGATACACATCGACATATAGGAATACACACATATACACACGATTTAAATACAAATAGGCACCAATGCACACAAATACGCATAAGAACATACACACATATATAGAAGTATCCACATATACATATCACACATACAAATGGAAAAACAAACATACCTAGATATGGCCAAATTCCAGTTGCAAATCATCGGGATCCAATTCCAATTCCATAAGCATCATTTTTCCAGTGAGAAGAAGATGCAGATAGTCGATTTTGATTTCTGGTAAGCAGAAGAGGCGTATCAGAAGAAGATGGTTGATTTCGATGGTGGCAGGGTATTGGTTTTCTTGATCGAGAGAGAGAGAGAGAGAGAGAGAGTAAAATGGTGGGTTTTCTATGGTGGTGGTGGTGGCGGCTAAGAGGCAATTGCAAATCTGAGGTCCTAGTTGTTGGTGTATGTTGGTGGTTCAGAGGGAGCGGCAATTGGGTCTTGAACTTGTTCCCTGGAGGTAGATTACCAGTGGAGACAACGGTGTTTGGTGTTTGGGTTTTCTACTCTAGGCATGACCGATGTAGGTGGTAGAATGAATGGCGAAAAAGATTAACAGAGGTAGAGGTGGAGATACGAGTGGTGGAGATAGGAGTTAAATAGAGAACAATGGAAGTGGGGGAGGGTTATATAAACGGCCAACAGATATATAGCATTATAGGGCGGAAATAAGGGAGATATAAGGGAAAGGAAAGGTGGAGGGGAAAGGGTTCTAATGACGGTGGTTAGTGGTAGAAGGTGGAAGGAGGCATAATGACTATGTCGGAATTCCATAGTTAGGGTTTCTTTGACTGACAGAGAGATAGAGAGAAGAAACATGCGATGGAGACTGAGTGGTGGTGAATGGAATTTCTTTGTGATCGATCTAAGGGAGTAGATGCAAATATAAATCATATATAGGCTTGAGGGAGTGGCTCACCACCCTTCTCGCCTTTTAAGTGGCTATGAATGCTAGTACCACTCCTTTCAAGATGCTAAAAAAATTTTGCAATAATTCTCTCGCCATGTATATAGCGAGATGAGAGAAGAGAGAGAAATTTAGACAGTGAGTTTTTATTGGTTGAAACATTTTTTTTCTTATTTTTTATATATTTTTTTCTAAAATAAAACTCATTCAACTAACACGCCACCACTCCTTACATTTTGTAGTTTAAATGCTATCATTTTCTTCATCCTATGTGGCTTCAAAAAATTTGATGTGGCAACATGCTAAGCATGTTACCACTCCCTGCAGCCTTAGTGTTGACCTATTCAATCGGCTTGAAGATAAGGGATGACCAAGGAGTTTGTTCGGTTGTTTAATCGTTTATGACTTTTTCAATAGTTGACAAGATAAGATCTGATTCTTTTTGGAAAGCATAAAATGATTGTAAACAGTGCAATAAGGCTTGTACCTCTTAAAAATCAGCAAAATATGGTAAATGCTTTTTAAGGTATATATATATATATATATATATATATATATATATATATATATATATATATATATATATATATATATATATATGAAAAACAATAATATCTAAAGCACTAGCAAATTAAGACTTCAAAGTTCTGTCTCAATATATTAATCATAACTATAAATATAAATATTTCCAACATTAAATGTGTGTTTATACTTGAATGTTGCATTCTTGTTCCATGCTCAATAATATAGAATGTTTTATATTGACGAGTTTTCGAGTCCATCTGGGTCTAAAACCTGAAACTGGTTCTAATTATCTATTATCGGTTCCAACTGGTTCTATACCCACTTTATACGGTCCGATACCCGGAACTGAACCGAAACTGGTTTCATTATATCGATCTGGTTATCGGGTCTTATATTTCGTCAATTCCATTTTCCGAGTTTTCGGGTCCGAGTCCAAATGGGTTGGGTTCGGACCCATTTTCATCCCTAACGGCCATCGCATCGTAACGAGTCATTGGTCACGTTGACCAAGTCCAGCCAAAACAATCGCGTTGCAACGCGTCACCATGTTGTGGGCCTTCCTTGGTTGCGTCTTGGTTTCGCTCACAAGTCATCTCCTTCATTAAGAGCTTAATCCTTACATATCAAAGCTCATAACTTCATATCTGGTTCTTCTTAATGACTTAATGGATAAAGTTTCCAACTTTATCTAATAAGACATCACTACAAAGCAATATCTTAAACCATAAGTCTAAAAAGCTCTTTAAAGGCAAGTCTTTGTACATAGGATCAAGAACATCCAAGCATCGACCTTTTCTCACTTAGAAGCAAGGTTTTGAAAAGCTCGTCATGGCTCTGTCATGGCACGCCATGGCTCCAAGGCTTGTATGTGCCGCCAAGCTTAACCAAAATGCCGGCTTGACTAATATATGTGTATGAAAATGAATAATAGTATAAAGGGTAAATTACACGAATCGTCCCTCGTCCAGGTGCCAAAAAGCACGTTTAGTCCCTATTTTCAAAAATTAACTCGAACCGTCCCTGTATAATAATTTTTTCACTCGGATCGTCCCTGTGGACATAAAATGACATTTTTACCCTTAATAAATTCTTTTTTAATTTTTCATATGTATTTATCATTTTTAGATTTAGAAAAAAAAGAAAAAAAAAACAAAATACCCTACCAATCAACCCACCTGTCCCGGCTCCCCCTTCCCATTCGTTTTTCCCCCTTTTCTTTCTACATCATTGAAATCAGGTCTCCAGATGAAGACCACCATCCACCACTCCATCTCTGCTTCTCCGTTCGCCGCCTGTCCACCACCGTCTAAGATCTGCACACCATTCACGAAGTCGCCGACAACCATGAAGTTGTCGGAAACCACAACCACACATCTCTTCTATTTCTTTCTCTACCACCATTGTAGCAACCATCATCGCCTACATCTGTGTTCGAAACCACCACCTCCATCTGCGCACAACGATCACCGCCTTCTCCCTCACCCTCGCCTGGCAAAAACAGAAGAATGGATCTACTTTTTTGTTCGCCTCTATCTCCATTTGAAACCCTACAGCGGAGGTACATTCCGTCGGAGTAATATGAGAGGGTTCCGTGTTGAATCAAACTCGGCAAAGTTTCAACCTTAAAGAAATCGAGTCTGCCATTACTCACATCTTTGGAAAAAAATCAAATCTAACACCACCTGGAGTGTAGATCTGCGAACAGGTGGTGATGGTTGGTGTTTCCGCCTCTCTTCCTTCGGCTGGTGTTTCTACAAGGCTTGGTGGTCGACGGTGGTGGCTTAAGGAACCTTGGGAAGAAGGGGGATAAGGGTTTATCAACGATGCTTTTGAAAGAAAAAAAAAAGTGGTAGTCAACTGTGGTGTGTGGTGGTCCGGCGGTGGTCAATGGTGGTGCTCAGTTGTCCGGTGGTGGTGATGATTTTGCTTTAGGGGAAAGTGGGTTTAGAAGGGAAGGGGTTAGATAAGGTGGGAGGGATGAAGTTTTTATTTTATTTTGTATATTGTTATTAATTGTAAGAAAAATAAAATAAATCAAAAATTAAATAAAAAGGGCAAAATAGTCATTTCATGTCTCGTAAGGGATGAAATGTGTAAATTTAAACTAACGAGGGATGACATGTGCAACTTTTAACCAAATGAAGGACGATCCGAGTTAATTTTTGAAAATAGGGACTGAATGTGCTTTTTGGCACATGGACGAGGGACGATTCGTGTAATTTACCCTAGTATAAAATACCTATAAAAATATGAATTATATACAAAATTGCGGCCTTAAGTCACGTCTTACAAACAACATGGCTCGCCAAGGCTCGGAAAAGCTTGAGGCTTGACATTGCCACCAAGTCACGCTTTACGTTATTTAGACATTGCTTAGAAGTCCATTGACCACATGAGTGTGATATTAAGCTCTAGAGTTCCTCAAACTCCAAGATCATCTATGAAAGGGACCAAAACCAACCAAAAGAGTATGCTTGGATCTAAAAAGAACAAATGTAATCCAAAGCATAAGCTCCAAAACTAAGCAAACAAGCTCATAACCATGGATGGATGATGAAGAGAATGACCTAAACCTGGAGTTAAAGCCTTTAAATATAAGAGAAACCCTGAATTTCATGGGTTTGGACTGCAACAACCACCATATCGTGTTACGTCTTCACCACATCATGGTCACCAACCAGACGCGATTCTCATTTAAGTGACATGGTCACATCGTGGCCAACAACCTGCCACGATGTGGCATAAGGTTTTTCCCAAAACCTTATCTTTGGAATCCTTAAGTCTTTAATCGATCGAATTGGAAAAAATGAGTTCCATGATAACCGGCTAATGAAAGGTAAACCAAATAAATGTTTTAAATGAAAAAATCAATGCAAATGTAAGGCATTAATGGACATAAAAAACGAACTTTGGGTAAAACCGACAAAAAATTGCAAACTTGAGGGCTTTCATGGCCTTTTCCCTTAGTCCAAACCCAAACTAAAAAGGTAATGTATTTTTATACCAATACCAACAATATTCTTGCACTTTCAACCTATAAAACCTTCGAGTCATCGCCACGAGTTTCATCATCAACAATGACAAATCATACAAAAGAATACCTTGAAGCATGATCTTAACTATCGACATAACTTTTAGAACAAAAACATTGAAATAAACACCAAAACGATTCAAATTTCCATGACATTCTCAAAAGATATATGGATTGATTTTTCATACAAAGAAAATTGCAAGCGATAACACCTCAACCAAAATTTCAGGGAAAACAATTCCAACAAACCTTTTTTCCTGCATATCTTAATCACAACTTACAACAATTATACATCACACCCCCAATCCAATCCCTATAACCCATAAAATTTAGGCACAAAAAATGACCTTTTTTCCCAATTCCCATGATATCTGTATCCTATGATGACACATAAGCCAGATTCAACTCAAGCGGCCTCAAAGCTTCCTGAACAATCTCTTGCACTGTGCGATTCCGTCTGCAGACCTCAGACAACTCTTCAATCGGAATCGTCAATCCCTTGATGTCAACACCCGATGCAGCATCAGACAACGCCTGCACAAATCTTGACTTTTCCATATCTGTTGCAGCAGAAACCGGAATCAAACACACACTCTCTTTGGCCCACTCCAAAGCTTTTGACCCATATGCCCTCGATAACGCCAGCAGAGCATATGCCACCTGTCACAAACCAAAGGGCATTAATGGTAATATTAATATCGCTTGAAGGGTTAATCAAAATAAACAGTGTCTTACTGTCTTACAGTTTCTAATCTTGAACTTGGGAGGGCCCCGGTTGCAGCAGCAACCAAGATTCTTGTAATGCTGGCACCTCGTGGGACAATTACATTGTCCCTCATGGGAACAAATTGTTGCCCTTGACTTGATTTTCCAAGGTCAAATATGTCCGATAAGAAGCTTAGTATAGAATTTGATGCCTCCCTGAAAAAATATTGTAAATATTGAAGGTTTAAAGTTGTAATAGAAGGAAATGAAAGGTGGTTGGTGTTTTTTGTATTTAACCTGTGTTGAACTGTGATTCCGATCATTGAGCATTCCACCAATGATGGGAATACAGGAGATGGAAACAGCAAATGAGGGCAATAGCGAATGCATCTTGAAGCCAACAAGAAACAATCATCGGCTATATCTGGTCTGGATGTGAAATCCTACAAATTCAATACTTGTTATTAAAAAGTAAAAACAAATATTTAATGAAAAGGAAATTAAAGATTTGGTTTTAGAAGAGGAGAAACCGAACCTGGATTTTTGTAAGCAAACAAGCTGTGTTGCTAAACAGAGATTCAATCAATACTTTTAAGTAATCCGCACAAGAAGGATCAGATCCAAATATCTGCATCATAAATAATATGATGAATGAATGAATCTCAAATAGTTTGTTCTTTTCATTGATTGATAAAGGTTGAAACTTTTTTTTTTTGACCTTTATAACTTCACTAGAGAGATATAAGAAACAGGGTTGGTGGTGTTGTTTGTATAGCCCTTGTATTTCCTCAAGCATTGCTCCAATTGTCACTCCCATAAACCTCTTTGATGTTCTCACCTTAAAAAAAAAAACAAACATTTAATTTTGCAAATAATTAATTAGCAACACAAAAAAAGTATATATAACTTATAAAAAAAACATATAGGCTTGAACTTACAGCATGTTTACATGCCCTACAGAGTGATTCCATTGTCCTCATATCCCAAGCACGACTGCATTATTTTTCAGAAAAAAAGACTTAGATGCAGAATTAGCAACCTAATTTTATTTATTTATTGGTATACTTTAAAAAAATTACTCAATTATAAATTTATAGCAATGAAATTTGCTTTATACTTACATATCAAAGATGGCTTTGAAAAGTGGCCAAAGTCTTTGAATTGCATCCGCAACAGCTTCCGGATTATTTACATATCTGCACATAAATTCATTATTTAAAAAAAAAATAAGATACACTTATATATAAAAGAATTTAAAAAAAATAGTTTTTGATACCTAAATATATTTGCAAGCCGATCAATATGAACAGTGATTTCACGAGCAGGTTTTTGACCCAAAACCAGAGGACCCTGATTGATCACTTCCTACTCATCATACAAAATAATTCAGCAATGGCATAATCGTAATTATCTTTCTTTTCTTTTTATGTTCATTAGATAGCCATTGACTAGTCAAACCTGTAAAGATGCAACTGCAGGTATGCAAAGAGCCTCAAGGGCTTTCTTAGCCTGATCAGGAGGAAGCTCTGTAATAACTATACTGCAATTAAAGATTTATGAGATTTTTTTTTTCTTTTTCTTTTTCTTTTTCATTTAAATTAATTAAGATTTTGTATTGTAGTGAGACCTTAAGGCTTCAACCAAATGCAATGAATCTTGAGCTGCAACTTTAAAAGAACCTTCACCAGTCATTGCCCTTTGGTATATCTGGAAAAGACCATCTAAAGATCCACACAGCTTTTTCCCACAATCTAAAAAATAATAATATGAATCTTTTAAATCTTTAATTTAAAACTACATTCCTATAAAATGAAGAAAGATTACAAATTTACAAATTTACAATACCATCACATATGTGTCTGAAAGCCAATGCAGCAGCTGCTGCAGACTCTTCAGACATACTCATGCCACTGACAAGAATATCAATGACTGAGGGCAAAAAAGACAATCCATTTGGTGCAGCATCAATCCACTTGGAATAAGCTCCAACTGTCAAACATACTGGAAAACAAAGGGTAGTTTTTTTTAAAAAAAATAATGAAATATTAATTTATGAAAAAAGAAAATGTATATAACCTGTTTGAAGTAATAGTGATTGATGAGGAAGTTTCGGAAGCAAAGACATAATCTGTTTAAACCAATAAAAACAATAAAATTAAATGGTCAAAGTCAAAGTCAACGGAAGGTCAAAGAAGATGTAACTTATACCTGAGGCATCACTTCTGCTTCAATGAAGGGGACAAGATCTGATATGGCTCTGATGCAATATAATGCAGCCTCTGAAGGTCTCCAATCCATCATATCACCATTTTGGTGTCCACTTAGAGCCTGAAAATTGTGAAATGAAATGACACATTTAATGATTTGATATAACTTATGTTTATAAATAATATAACATGATAAATTTGATAAAATGAAGTAATTATGTACCTCAACAAGCTTCATGTATAGAATTCTAAGTGTGGCTTCACCTCCTAAAACTAATGCTGCATCAATTAAGACATCTGCAACAGCTAGAAATATAATATAGTATGTCAGCACATTACAATAACAAAATTTTAAAAGGGTATTCTTCAAAAGTTCATTTTTAAACTATTATAATAAGTTAGAGTGTATTATGAATGATGATATGGAAAGAAAGAACAAATAATTAGAAGGAAACTAAATACCATATCTTGTCTGTTTGAAATCCTTTTGGTCTTCTTTTGAAAGCTGAGAGTAATCCTGAGGATACTGAACTTTGCAACTAACCTGTGAGCAACAAAATACAAATGACATTTATGTCCTTGGTTGTGTAAATGCATCAAAAACAAAGATTTTACTACAATAACTCACCATGGATACAAGTGATTCATATGATGAACGAAAAACCTGCACACGTCTATTTCTCTCTGCTTCAATTAATGATTCATTGCCAAGTGATAAATAGGATTCTCTGCAAAATAATAACAATTATTGTATCAAATAATTGGTTTTTATAAAATATAAACTAAAAGAACTAAACCACTCACCTCTCTATCAAGCAAATTTGAAGATTGTGCCAAAAGTTAAATGTCATGGAAGCAATATCATATTCTGGATGTGCAGCAACTTCAAGTAATGCATGAACAATCATCATTGATTCATCAGAACCTGTAGAAAAAACTAATAGTTTAGAAGTAGAAAATTATTTAATACTTTTTGCAACAAAAAAAAAAAACTGTGAATTTGCATACCAGTTGCTATTAATTCAACATAGGAATCACCCATATCAGCAAATAATCGAGCAATGGCCTTAACATCTTCCTCATCCTGAAATCAGATGTATCTCTTTTGTTTATAAAAGCAGGAAGCTTTTGAAAAGATCCATCAACTTGTATGTCTTAAATTGAAACTGAAAAGAGTTTGGAAAAAATTACCTTTGAAGAATCTCTAAGTTGTGGCTTCAGATTCATAACTTGTGGCACAATAACTTGAATTAAGGGCATATGAACAGAAAACCCCTCTATGTTTCTTGCAGATGTGTAATGTATCAATTCAGAAATCACTGCATATAGGCAACAGTGAACAATGATATTTATTACATTCTAAATTAATAACTGATCACAATAAATAATATATAATATATATTAGTATATTACCATTTACAGCTGCCTCTGAAAGCACATCAGAAGTTAAGCTAGAGAGAGCTGTTAACACCAATGGATGTGTAGCAAGAACAGATGCAGGTATCCTATAAGCAACAAAAAACATCAAGTAGTAATTCATTCAATAGCACCAAAGATTTCAAAAAAAAAAAGAAAAAAGAAAATAGATAAGGAAATATACCTATGTCTTAGTCGAAGCCAAGATGCAAAAGCCTCAAGAGCCTGAATGTAAGAAAGTCATAGAAGAAAGTGGAATATTGAGAAGAAAACTTTATATCTTATAAGAAAACAGAATTAATTTGTTATTGCTAAAAAGAAAAAGAAATAGAAAAAAACTCACCTGTTCTTTTAATTCTGGAATATTTAAACATGCAGTCAAAATCCCAAGAGCAACATCCATTGTAGAGGCAAGTTCATTTTCAAATTTTCTTCGCCTTTCAGGACGTGCAGCTATTTTGTAATTAAAAACTTCCTGTTTTAAAGCATAATAGATTATTTATATACACATTAGCAACTCCATAAACCAATTTAATATTAATATATAAGTTTATGGTGAATTATAAAACCTCAGGTAAGACTCTGAGTAGCTCTAGAAAACTTGGAACAATATCAGGATTTGAATTCATCTCATCTCTAAGCCAATTCATTATGCCACCATCTCCCCAATCTTCAGCAGGAACTTGAACAGCTAATGCAGCAACAGCAAGACTAATCTATATATAACAAAATCCTTTTCATATTCACAAAATCCATTTGTTTACAACTTAAACACATCTGTTGATCAAACAAGTTTTAGATAGTACCTGAGTTCTAACTTTTGGTGGGCCCTTGTGAAATGTTTTCAACAAGTTCTGCAGTTAAAAGTTAAAACTCCAGCTGTCAAACTCAAACACCAGATTCGATAGATATAAAAGAGTACAATTGTTTGATGATATTCACTTACATTTAAAGAATCGCGTAGTGAACGAAATGCTTCAGAAGGCAATTCTTCAAAATCTCTTTGCACCTGTTACATGATATGGATTAAAGTAAATAGCTATGTCATATGATGTTATTGTTAAGTTAATTGAAACTGTTATGTTGTGATGCATAAAGTTGAAAGAATACCTTGCTTGATTGAAAGGTAAAGAAGGATGAATGAAATTACCTTACTTCTGAGAGTTTGTGAGCAGAAAATTAGAGTCTCCACATTGCTACTAGCATCGTGAAGCAAATTATCAGACACCTAGAGAAAATTTAACATATGTTAACTTATTTAATTGATCTTTAATGAATACATTAGAATCAGATAAAAACAAATTTTGATAACAGCTCAAGTGGGTGATGTACGCTAATCAATCCTCATTTATTGATAGTATGAGATAGCTGGTTCCATAGACATAAAAGTTTTTAGCAACAGCATAAAGCTTGCAAGTTACAGATTCTCCTTTATATGGGTTGAATTCCATAAAGATAAGGAATTGCCAAGTTCTAGCACCCATATTTGGTTATGCTGGATGATTTGTCTAGAATCCTAGGCGAATCAAAACCTATTCACAATTAAATCGAGAAACTTGCAAATTAACTACACTTTCACTCCGATGGATGAACAAAACCTACATGATTATGTAGAAAGAGCAAAAACTGATTACCCAATACAATTTAGTACCGATTTAGGGAGTTCAAATATCGAATTGATTACGCGGACTATATGAGTACGGATTGAAGTAACATGATTTGAACTCAATCAGTAGTTAAATAACGAACCTGCCAAGCATCGATTGTCCGTTGGAACTCTTGAAGCCATTGATCGGCTTGAGAGCGAACGGCATCATCTGGGTGATGATAGAGTGCGTTCAATGCTTCTTTGACAATATTTTCGAGGGCCATGAATCGCGAAATCGAGGGTGTGGGCGTTCCAAGAAATTGAAATCCAGATGCAGGGTTTTATTTGTGTATCTTAATAGTAATGATTTGGAGATGTGTATGCGTGTGTAATGTATATTTTTGTGATGATGTTTTGGAGGTTTTTGGCGCCCGTGGGTCGAGCTTTCAAGGGTTCTTGCGATTTGGGGTGGTTCGTATTGGAAGAAATGAGTAATTATCAGCCGTCTGATAGATCTCATCATCTCTGTGTTTCTTTCATTCCGTCTTTGACAATCGGTCAATCGTCAAGTTCAAATTTTCTTACACTTCCGGTCCTTCCTTTCCATAAGAATTTGGAAAAAAAAAACTTAAAACTTACCCAAATCCTTAAATAAATGTAAATTGATTTTTTATGACTTTGAGTTATGGTCTTTGTAAATTAATGTTATGATGTATCCCTTTTAATTTGCAGTAAATACAAATAATTATAGATTTGGATTCTATAGTTTTTAACTTGCATTAATTTAAAAAAAAAATTGTGTTTTAGTTTTTAATAGAGTAAACTATAAAGTTAGTCCTAGGATTTATATATATGCACTTTTAATATAACTTTTTAATTTTTAACATGATTTATCTTTATGGTTTCCAAAATTTCATATTTGGTTCTTGGAGTTATTATTGTCAATCATCTTTTGTTAAACATTTGTAAAATGATAAAAATATATTTGTTGTCAGATATTTTGATTACTTTATCTTTTAGGGATGATTTTTATAAAAATAGAAATAAGTCTTATAAGCCCTAATCTCGTCGATCTATTTCTCACATCCTCTTTAATTTATCACACCAAAGCCCTAATGTACTGCTCGACATCCTTCACTATCATTGGGATCAACTTTTATGTCACCTACATCGCCAACACGACCACATCTATTTCCAACAACTACATCCTATGGTAAACCAAATGAGCCATAATTCCAATCATGCTTTGGTATATCATGTTGGAACTTTATATATAAAGGAATTGCAAGTTGGCAATTTCCTTTGTATCCCACATTGGTGGGGGGAAGAAACTTTTGTGGGTTTATAAGCCTATTCCCTTAGTAAGCCTTCAAAGGATTTAGTGGATCAAAGAAATGGGCCAAGCCCATGTGCGCGCCTAGCCTAGCCTAGCACTAGCCGACGCCGCGAGTGCGAAATTTAGGCGCACTTCGCACGACGCATCGGTCGCTGGGAGCTGAGGATCTTTTATTTTTGACGAGTTCGGGTCAAGCTGGTTTGACCGATCCGGTCAAATGGTTGACCGTCGTTGACTTCGTGGAGGCCAAGTCAGGGTATTCTAGAAGGATCAGGAAACAGATTGCTTGGAGAGCAAGCTGTCGCCCTAGGGTTTCTGGGGCCGGCCTATGGGGGCCCGTTTGATGCCTTTTAGGGTTACGATACCTATAAATACAGCTCCCTAGGAGCCATATAGACTCTTACGAAAATCTGAAAGCTCTCCCTCTCTCTGCGGTTTTTCTTCTAGTTTCCGAGTAGTCGCTTTGTGTTTGTCGATTTCCAGTGCTGTTGGAATATCGATCTACTGCATTAAATCCCGGGGTTTTACTCTGTTGCTTACAGCCAATACAAGCAAAGTAAAAACCTTTAAGGACAGGAATCTGATCCGTGCAGTTGCTTCAAGATCAAGTCAGCAGTCAACAGGTCGGTTTTATTTTTCTGTCTTGTGTTTAATTCGTCCAACAACAGGACAATCTTCTTCTACCTTTCTTATAATCGAATCTAATCGAGAAGGATAGATCTAGTTTCTGGACGAAACTCGGTAATATAATAATAATAATTAGATCTATTATTCGCAACTGATCGACATATAATTCTCAATATTATTTGTCGGTTTCCTTGCACGTCTATTAGTTTGATTAACAACAATCTTAAAGGTTTTTATTTGTGATCAGTCAACAGACTAATGGACTCAACTGCTAGCCTCCATTTCATGAACCAAGAGTTTGCCAAACTTGACCAATTCGATGGTCAGAACTACACTCGTTGGGCCGAAAAGGTCAAGTTCATGCTTCATGTCTTGAAGCTCTCCTTTTTGTTGGACCCAAAACTGGCACTAATTCCTGATGATCCAATTCCAAAGGAAGGGGAATCTGTGGACCCAGCGGTCATTACAGAACTGGAAAAACAAAGGATTCTGCGTAGAGAATCCGAGGAATTGTGTGTGGGTCACATCAAGAATTCCCTATCTGATCGGCTCTATGATCTTTACTCGTCGGTCAAAGATCCTAAAGAGCTATGGAGTGCGTTGGAACTCAAGTATAAGGCACATGAAGAAGGTACTAATAAGTACCTTGTGTCCAAGTATCTTGAGTTTCAAATGGTTGATGACAAACCAATTATGGAGCAAGTGCATGAACTCCAAGTCATGGTCAACAAGTTGAACGCACTCACCATCTCTCTTCCAGAACTATTTCAGGTTGGTGCGATAATCGCAAAACTGACACCCTTGTGGAAAGATTTCTCTAAGAGAATGATGCACAAATCCGAGGACTACTCCTTGGATGATCTGATGAAACACCTCCGCATTGAGGAGGAAACTCGCATCAGGGACAAGCGAGGTAAAGTTGGACAAAGTGTGCATCATGTGTCAGGTGGGAGTTCTAGCCACAAAGGCAAATATGGGGGACAGAACAAGAAGAATTTTGGGCCAAAGAAACAAAGCTTCAAGAAACCGGGTCATCAAAATCCTAACTCAAAGCCAAAAAGGGTCAGTCCTTGCCATGTCTGTGGAGAGATTGGGCACTATGCGAGAGAATGCAAAGATCGCAAATCCATACCGGTTGCACATGCAGTCGAGAAGGTAACTGACATGGTGGCTAGTGTGAACCTTGGAGAGATTTTCATGATCTCCTCTCTTACTCGAGCAATCTGTGCTCGAGGTTGGTTCGTGGACACTGGAGCCACTGTGCATGTTTGTGGGCAAAGAGAGAGCTTTCACACCTACCAACCCATGCCTCATGGGACGGTTGTCGTCTGTGCTGATGGCCATAGAGCTGAAGTTCTAGGAAGGGGTGATGTTCGGTTGAAGTTCACACGTGGTGAATGGGTGACTCTTCGAGATGTTCTTCATGTTCTTACTATCTCGAAGGGTCTGGTTTCTGCGGACAAGTTTGACAAGGGTGGGTTCAAGATGGTGCTTGAGAGAGGCAAAATTGTGATCACTAAAGGCAGAAGATATGTTGGGAGGGCTACCAACACTTCGGGAATGTATCGTTTATGTCTTAGTGATGAGGGTAATATGAGTGGTCCTAGTGTTGAGAGTGGTGTTGCTAGTGTGTCTAGTGTTGGAAATGATGTAATTGATGGATTGGTTGCTAATGTGAATGAAGTGAACTTTTCTTGTTATATTGTTTGTTCAATTTCTTTATGGCATAAACGTTTAGCTCACACTAATGTTAAAAACATTGAAAAAATGCAAACTAAAGGTATGTTAAAATATGACTCAAAAGATTTTGAAAAATGTGAAACATGTGTAAAATCAAAGTTCACTAAGAAACCATTTCCATCAGTTAAGAGAAACACATCTTTACTTGAGTTGATTCATTCTGATATATGTGAGTTAAATGGAATCCTTACTCGAGGAGGAAAAAGGTATTTCATCACATTTTGTGATGACCTCAGTAGATATCAACATGTTTATTTGCTGAGATCAAAAGATAAAGCTTTTGATGCATTTAAACGATATAAGGCTGAGGTCGAAAATCAACTTGAAAGGCACATCAAAATTCTTCGCTCGGATAGAGGCGGAGAATATTTCAACCAAGAGTTTGACACATTCTGCGAAGAGAATGGAATCAAACATGAGAGAATATCACCATACACCCCTCAACAGAATGGTTTGGCTGAAAGGAAGAACCGAACTCTTTGTGAGATGGTCAACTGTATGTTGAACCAATCAGGTCAACCAAACAATCTGTGGGGGGAAGCACTATTGACTGCTTGTTATGTTCATAACAGGATCACTATTCGCGTGATTCCTACAAGCCCTTATGAGTTGTGGAAAGGTAGAAAGCCTAACCTAGACTATTTGAAAGTGTGGGGGTGTGTTGCTTATTATCGGACTCCCGATCCTAAGCGAACCAAATTGGGAGCACGAGCTAATAAGAGTATATTTATTGGATATGCTCAAAATAGCAAGGCTTACCGATTACTAGATATTGATTCTGGTGTTGTTGTGGAATCCAGAGATGTGGAATTCTTTGAGGACAAGTTTTCTAAGGATGAAGAAAACTCTAGTCATACAACACTTACAAGTACCTCTCGAGAAATACTCCCACCTCCTCCCAGCGTGGAGGAACCAAGGAGAAGTACTAGGGTTAGAATTGAGAAATGATGGGTTTTGGTCATAAGACATCCTATGTGCTCATACAAACCCTAATGCTTGGATCTAGGTTTCTTTATTGTACATGCTTTGAATCCAAGACTATAAACCCTAATTCTAACATGCAAGTAATCATATTAACATGTAATTAGGTTTAAGATCATACCTTGATTGTTATGTAGCAATAACAATCCCAATTCCACCTTGGATTGACTTTGGAATGCTTAGAGTCACAAGTGTCACTCCTCTAATGGCTTACAAACACCATAAGCAAATGGAGAAGGTATAAAGAGAGAGGTGAGAGGTTAGAATTCGTATCTAGGACCTCTTGGGAAGGGATACACGAATTCATGACCCTAGGGGTGTTTATATAGGTGTAGAGATAGGGTTTCAGTCATTATCCTTATCTAGTTGATTATCCATTAAGCAACCAATAAGATAATCCTTGAATCCTTATCATACTCGAATTCTAAGGCTTTCCAACCTTAAATTCGTCCACCATATAAATAAGATAATCCTTACCTTATTTTGTAACTATCACATAATTACAAATCAGCCCCTCTAGTTTAATTAATTACATTTGATCACAAAACTAATTCTTAATTAATTATTGACCAATATTAATTAAACAAATATGATTTCTCCTTTAATATATTATTCTTATAACATATTAATAAATCATATTATCCTCTCTCTCTTTATTCATTTCTCCAATCAAGTTGCTTTGGTGAAGGCAACCCAAAAGGACCATGCACCATCGGGTCAAGTACATACCAAAATAGTTATGGACTTAGACACTAATCCAACAGTCTCCCACTTGGATAAGTCTAACAACTATTCTGCGTATGACTTCAGATCCTGATCTGCAATCGTAGCTTTCCAAAGCCGCTGTCAACTCTGATCATATCAGATACGTGTGTCCTTAGATAAGGGATCATATATTCCTCCATTCTAGATATCGTATGA